CTGGGCCAGGCCACCACATTGCTCCCCTGGATTAAGGCAGTCATCTTTCCCTCTCCTGGCTTCCACCCTTGCCCTCCATAGTTACTGGAAGTGGCCCCTGTTCCAGGGAGAATTCTAACTATCTGAACCCTGAGATTCCTAGTCTGACCCCTAAGTGTTATTGTTTCCCAAGGCAAGCCCAACCCCAGTGGGCTGTTATTTATTCACAGTTCAATTTGCTACTTTTTTTCTTCTCTAGCTTGTTTTCTGGATCCTTTATCTCCTGGGCTCCATATTTTGAAGGCAAAGCCACTGACTCCTATGCATCCTGCAATGCCCCAGCTCCAATGCTCCCTTTCCAATGAAGCTTCCTCTGACCTTCCCAAGGAGAACTGTCAGTTTCCCTCTCTGGACTTCTCCTTTTTCTGTCCATACCCAACCAAACCAGGTTAGGCTATGTCTGTCCAGCTTCACCTTGCTCCAAAGTGCTCGTGTGGGCAACCCAGCACTGCAGGTACAAATAGGGCTCTGTACCTGAACAGAAGGGTACAGAGAGTAGGTACCCCATGCTTTGTGCAGAGGGCAGGCATTTGGCCTTGGTATGGGGTAGTTTACAGTTGGCATCATAACCCTTGAAGGGCTGGGGCTTCTGTCCCTCCCAGTTCCTCCAGCAGGCCTCTGATGGGGCATGGGGGGGGATTAGAGTTCTTCACCTCTCTGTCTCACCTGTGGGCCACATGAGTGTGCATGAGTGTGTGCACAAGAGGAGTCTGTCCACAGGTAAAGTCTGAGTGTCAGTCTGTTCCAGCCTGCAGGCCTATGTCTGGCTATGTGATCTCAGCAGGTCACACGGACGTCCGTGTATCTCTGGGGTGCAGATCTGCCCAGGATGCATGGGGTGGGGACCTACCTCTGTCTTTGCTCTGGACTCCAAGAAGACATGGTGATTTCTCTCTTTTCCATCTAGCTTCCCTTGACCTGGTAAGGTGAACTTATACCGGGAGTGGGGGACCAGGCACCAACCACAGTGAAGTCCCCACCCACATCCTGTTCCCGTTAGGGGCTGGGCAGGGGAAAGGGAGGGGTCAGAATTGCACAAATGCTTCCTGGCAGTGGGAGAACAGCAAGGGAGCTGCCCAGCCCCTTCTCCGGCCTGTTTTTACCCTGTTTTTCCTTCCCCTAATTTCTGCTCTTGGGGAGTGGGCATTCAGGAATCCCTGGGACTGAGTCCCCACTCCCTGCAACCTAGGAATCAAGGGTCAAGTTTGCAAGCTGCCTTTCCTCGGGGGATGGGGCCAGCTCTTTGGGCAAGAGGTGCTATTTACGATAGATTTGAGCAATGAGGAAGTTCAATGAAGGGAACAAAAAGGCACTTGTCTTGAATTCATGACATAGTGTTGGCCTTTTTTTGTTTAATGAAACCATTTTGTAAAAATGGAATTTAAGAGCGAGTGATGGCAAAAGTCTTCATGGTCTTTGAACAATGACCTCGGAGGGTTACACCTGGCTCTGAATCCCAGCTCTGCTATGAACTACGTTGCTTTGTGAACTTGGGCGAGTGGGTTCACTTTTCTTGGCTTTAGTTTCCCCATCTGTGAAGTAGAACTTAATCTCTGAGGGCCCCCTCTGTTGTTTGTTTCTTCATCTGAAGCTAATGTGCCATTTGTTTGGGATCTTTCTTGTTCGCTAATAAATGCATTAGGAGGCTATGTATTTCCCTCTGATAACTGCTTTTGCTGCATCTCACAGGCTTGGCTATTCAGTGCTTTCATTCTTGGACACACAGGCTCAAAGGCAAATGCACAGGCTGACGGTGACAGGCACGGAGAAAGAAAGATAGACACCCCCATGGATTCACAGACATAGGTATTGAGACAGAGACAGGCGAAAATACATAGAATCAGTGACACAGAGCAGGACGCACAGGACAGAACCAGTCCTGCAGAGATGAACACACAAAAACAGACACATACCAAAACATGAACAGAGTACACATTTTCTCAAAGAACACATACAAACAACCAACAGATACATGAAAAGATGCTCAACATCACTAATCATGAGGGAAATGAAAATCAGAACCACAATGAGGTGTCATCTTGCACCTGTTAGAATGGCTGTCATCAAAAACACAAGAAATAACACATGTTGACAAGAATGTGGAGAAAAGGGAACCCTCATACGGTGTTGGTGGAAATGTAAACTGGTGCAGCCAACGTGGAAAACAGTATGGGGTGGGGGGGTCCTCAAAAAATTAAAAATAGAACTATCATGCAATCCAGCAATCCCACTTCTGGGTATTTAGCTGAAGGAAGTTATATCTCTCTTGAAGAGATATCTGTACCCCCATGTTCATTGCAGCATTATTCACAACAGCCAAAATATGAAAACAACCCTACGTGTTGTTGACAGACAGACGGACAAAGAAAAGTGGTACATCTATACAATGGAATATTATTCAGACATAAAAAAGGAAACCCTGCCATTTGCAATAACGCAGTTGAATCTTGAGGGCTCTATGCTAAGTGAAATAAGGCAGAGAAAGACAAATACTGTATGATCTCACATATATGTGGAATCTAAAATAAACTGAACTCATAGAAACAGAATTAGTATGGGGGTTACCAGGGGCTGGGAGGTGGGAGAAATGGAGAGATGCTGGTCAGCAGGTACAAATTTGCAGTTATAGAATAGGCTCTGGAGATCAAATGTACAGCATGGCGGTTATAGTCAATACTATTGTATTATTATGCTTGAAAGTTGCTAATAGATTTTAAATGTCCTCACCCCCGCCCTACACACACACATACACAAAGCTGATGTAATGTATAAGATAATGGATGTGTTAACCTTACTGTGGTAATCCGCTTGCAATATATACCTATATCAAACCATCCAGTTGTACACCTGAAACTTACACAATGTCAGATACATCTAAATAAAGCTGAACGTATATCCACACGCACTCAGGAGGGTCTGTTAGATGCTCTCAGGGTGTTTGTGTTTCCTTGTTTAATAGTGGTCTCCCCCAGGAGAGGAGGGGCCAGGCCTCTCTGTTCTCTGCTCTATCCCCAGTGCCCAGCACACAGTGGGTGCTCAATTGATGTGCGCTGGAAGGAAGGGGTGTGAACTGTAATGACACAACGTTAAAGCGAACTCTTAAATCAAATCAGATCACATTCCCTGCGTAAAACCCTCTGATGGTTTCCCATTCCACTTAAAATTCCTAAGGCTTTGGGGAAGGGGATGCAAAGTTAGTGTTCGATGGGGACAGAGTTTTAGTTTGGGAAGATGAGAAAGCTCTGGAAATGGGTGGTAGGCCCTTGCTCCCCCCCCCAATACAGGCACACTCTTACCCCCTATCTGGCTTTTTCTTAATTAAACACATCACCACCTCAAATCAGGTCCTAATTTGCTTGTATGGGGTTGATCTCCCCAAACAGGCTGTGAAATCCATGAAGATAGGGGTCTTTCCCCATACGGTGCCTGGCACATAGCAGGTGCACAATAAATGTCTGTGAAAGGCCAATCAGAAGCTGGTGCCATCCAGATAAAGATGGGGACCCCATCCAACTCTCTCTACATTTCCACACCCAAGCGCCCCAGAATTGTTTGCTGCTGTGACCCAGCTTCACGGGTGCTCTCAACTGCCCCAGGCCACCTGGCTGGCCAGGTCCCCCCTCAGGAGACAGAGCAGACCCAGAGCCTTGGGGGCCGGTGGTTGTAAACAGTTTTATTGATGGGGAGAGGGTTTGGGGAGGCAAATTCCAGAGAGGGTCCAGGACTCAGCTGGCCACTCAGCTGGCATGCATGGTCAGCTGAAGGTCAAGGGGGAGCCACAAGGGGACGGGGTGCGTGGGACCCTCTGACCACCCTGGGGCCTTATTTACAGGGGGGCCCCGCCCACCTTCCCCGCTCCCCAGACCGCTGCTGCTGCCAATATGAATTCTGGGCAGGCCTTCCGTGACTCCCTACCTGAAACCCCCTCCTCGTCTCCCTCCAACTCCTAACCGGCACCGTGAAAGCCCCCGGCCATCTGGAAGCGCCGGCATCGGCTCAGCCAATGCCCAGGCCGCTGGGGCCACCGCTCACACACAGACACGCACACTGCACGCGTGGCCCGCCCCACGCACACGCCGGCAGCAGCCCTCGCGGGCACGCACACGCACGCCTCCCTCCCCTTCCCGGCCCCTCGCACACGAACACGGCATGCACACGCACACACACTCACACACGCCAGGAGCCTGGGCAGCAGAAGGGCTCTGCGGGGCAGGAGGGGGCCTGGGTCTGCGGGGTTGGTCCCCTCCCCACCCCACGCCTACTCCACGCCCCAGCCACGACCCCGAGAACGGAGTTGTGCAATCGGTTAGAAAACTGCAAAAGAAACGCAACTTGGAAAACAAACCAAACTCCACGCGCATAAGGTCAGCTTCAAATGCACAGCACGGTCCTCCCGCCCGCCCGCCCCCAAACCGCATCAGTGTCCTGCGGCCCCGGTCAGGGTCGGGGGCCGAGCTCGTTGTGCTTCCTAGAGGCGGAGGGGACCCCCGCGCGGGTGGGCCGGCGGGGCTTGAGCACCCACTGGAGCGGGGCCGGGTCTGATTCCCGCGGCTGGCACCGCCGAGGCGTCGGGGACCCGGCCTAGGGCACGGGGGGCGCAGTCCTGTCCGTCCCCCCGTAGGAGAGGAGGTGGGCCAAGTCTGTGCTGGGCCGCGCGTGGCGGCCACGGGGACGGTCACCCGGCCGGCCCTCGCCGCTGTTGAACGTGTGCGTGCGGCGCAGGGCCGCGGCTGGTGGGCCGTGCGGGCCCGGCCTCCGGAGGCTGCCCGTGGGCGGCGGGCTCCAGGGCCGAGGGAGGCTGTCGGCGGCTGAGGTTGGGTCCAAGGGGCCCGTGGGCGCTGACACCACCCGCCGGCGGTCCGGGCTGGCGTGCGGCGTGAGCGGGAAGTCGCCGTGGGAGGCGCGGCCGGGCCGGGAGATGTAGAGGCGGGCATCGGGGGCCGGCTCGCCGGGCGCGGGGGGCTGCTCGGGGGCCCGGGCGGGGGCCAGCAGCAGCAGGGAGGAGGAGGCGGAGGCCGAGAGCAGCGGGTGGCCGTGCTCCCAGGCGCGGGGCCCCAGGGCGTGCGGGTGCGGCGTGGGCAGGCGCTTCTGGGGCAGCGGCGTCTGCTCGGGCGTGGGCAACAGCCCCGAGTCCAGGTCGTGAGGGCCGCCCTGCAGCAGCGTGGCCTTGGCCCAGCCGTTCTGCATGAGCGGGGCCAGCAAGGCCTCGGGGGGACCCCCGGCCACGCCGCCCCCGCCGCCGCCCCGGCCCCCGGGGCCGCCTGCCCGGCGCTCGCCCAGCCGGCTGACACTCAGCACGGCCTCGCCGCCCCCGTGGGCCAGGATGGCCTCTTTGTCCTTGCGACGGGCCAGCTCGCGCCGCTCGCGGAGGCCCACATACCAGCCCACACTGAAGCCGGACACCACAGCGCCCACCACGAAGGCCGCCACCGACGACGTCACCAGCAGGTTCACGGACACTAGCCCAGCGCGCTCCTCCGAGAGGCTGGCCCGCAGGAGTCCTGGGCAGGGGGGCCGGTGAGAGGGCACGGCTGAGGCACGGGCTGGATGCACCGCCCACCAGCTCGGGTGACTCTGTCCATCTGTCTGCCTTCTCAGTTGGTCTGTCTGTGTGCCTGCCTAGTGATGTCTCTCTGTCCCTTTCAAAGCCCACCTCTTTTTCCCCTGGCATCTGCTGGCCTCTCTTTGCCCTCCCCTACCACCCTCCCCGGAAATGAGAATCCCTGTCCTTCCAAAGCTGGATGGAAGTCAGTCCTGCCACCCATCTGGGCATAGGAGGGTGGGAGAAACCCTAAAGGTCAGGACTCAGGGTTCCCAGGCCACCCCCCTTTACACTCACCTGTACAGTCCCCTAGGCCTGAGGTGCTGGCCCCGGACACATCTTGCTCAAAGGTGGCTCTAATGGGGGGAAGAGGGGCACAGTCAGCAGAAACCCCTCTCTGAGTGGGATCTCAGGAGGCTCAGACACCCAGGCCCCACCTCCCTCCTCCCCAGTACCTGGTGCCAGGGCTGAGGAAGATGCAGGAACCGTCGGGGGCCCACCCGCAGTAGGGGTCCTGACTGCCAACACAGTTCCTAGAGCAGACGAGGAGCCGGTGGGCCGATCAGCCACAAAGCCTCTTACTGTCAACTCTGGGAGTGCTTGGGACAAATCTTTGCAGTGAGGGCTATTTATTCCCCACTTTACAGATGAGGAAACCGAGGCTCACGAAATTTCACTTTTGCCCAAGCAGCAGGGCTGGGGCTGCAGCCCAGGCAGGCTTGACCCAGAGTCTATGCCTTGCTTGGTTCTGTGCTCTGCGACATTGTCGCCGTGAAGGTGTGTGTGGGGGGTTGCGGGGCAGCATTCTCCGTGTCTAGGGCTTGTGCTGAGCCCCGGGGGTGTGTACTTTGCCTCTGATCTTTGCACCCATTTTAGAGGCAGGGAGATAGATGGCGGCCTCTCTGGTCCCCAGCTTCTGCTCCTGTTGCTCTTAAAAATGTCATTGGGATCCTATCCTGCCTCTGCCCACAGCCCTCCAGGGCTCCCTCCTCCCTCTGGGTAAAAGCCCCAGCCCTCGGAGCAGCCCACTAGGCCTGACACGACCTGTCCAACCCCTCCTCCCTGTCTCCCCCTTGCCCTCTCTGCTCCAGCCAATGGGGCCTCACAGTTCCTGCCACACTAGACACGGGCCCACCTCTGAGCCTTTGCACTGGGCTCTGCCCTCTGCCCGTCTCCGTCGTCCAGTCAGGACGCCGATGGGCCCGTGACTCCAACTCCACTCTCCTTTCCCAGGCTCTTCTACCCTTGCTTGCCCGACCCCCGCAGCGGCCCGGGAGGCACTCACTTCATGCACCCTGAGTACAGCTGGCAGCGGGCCACGGGCACGCGGACCACGCAGCGGGGGAAGGCCGCCAACAGGCCGCCCGAGGCTGTGTCCAGCTCCAGGCTCAGCAGCCGCTGCCCTGCCTCGCCGCCGCCGGACCGTCCACACCTGCGGGTGAGCAAATTGGTAAAACCCAAGGGGCGCGCCCCATCTCCCTGCCCACCGGCGTCCCTCCGGGCCTCGGCCTGGCCCCGCCTCCCCTCCCGCGGCCACGCCCACCTGTCGGGCCGGTAGGTTTCGAACTCCTCCAGGAAGACACTGGGTCCAGCAGCGTCTGAGTCGCTGGCGTTGGGCCAGACGAGGAACTTGAGGACTGTGCCCGCCTCGGAACCCAGGAAGACGACGGTCTGGTTGCCCCATGGACCGGCTCCCACGTCCACGGCCACTCGCGTCAGCTGGTGCCTGGGAGCAGGGCGGGCCTGGGTCAGGCCGGTCCTCAGCCCCTGCGATCCCCCTGGGATGCACGCAGAGGCACCACCCGCGCCGGGCAGGGTGGGCACGGAGGTGGCGACACGGTGCACATTACAGAGGGAAACGACCCCCAGCCCCGGCTCCCAGCCTGTCTTCCTCTTTCTGTTGTCCTGCATCTGTCAGTCTCTGAGGACCTCTCTCCCCGTGTCTTCTCTTCCTCGGCTACCTTCCGCCTCTTTCTGGAACTCTCTCCCTTGGTGTGCGTGTGTGCGCGTGTGCTTCCCTCTCTCTCCCTCTCTTTATCTCGCCCTCCCTCTCTCAGGGTCTCTCTCCAGGCAGCCCCGGAGCCTCATACTGAGCTGTCCTGAGTGTCTGACCCCAGCAGCACTGCTCTGCGTCTCCTCTTGTGCCTGCTGTTGGCCACCCTCCCTCCCCACCCACAACCCTGGCCTGGGATCTGGTCCGTGCTAGGACCCTGGCCATGCCTGTGGACTGACCGCATTAGGGTCCGCACGATCCAGGGTGCGTGGCCCAGCGAGGGCACTGCCTCGTCCATCAGAGGGTGGGTCTTGACAAAGTTGAGGATCTCATCGGGGAAGGCGCTGGAGGCGTTGTACTGCATGCCAGGAGCCGCACAGCACCCGGGCCTGGGTGGAGACAAGAGGATGGTCAGGGTAGACTTGGGGGTCCCCACACAGGGGCTCTGATTCACCAAGGGACCTGCTGCCTTTCCCAAAGGGCCTCAGTTTTCCTCATCTGTGGAATGGGTACAGCTGAACTCAGCAACAGCTAAATAACCATCTGGATGTCACAGCCCTTGGACTTAGGGTCAGGACCCTACTCAGGCACCGGTCCAAGGACCTACAGGACTCTCACCTGGGCCGTGGCACCTGATCCTCTGGCACGGGGGTCCAGATGGACTCAGGGGACTTCTGCTCACGGAAGCGGCCTTCAAACACAGCAGCCACCTGTGTCATGTCAAAGGCGCAGACGGCCGAGCCGGGGATGCTGGTGGGGGTTAGATGAGAGGGAGCAGTGAGCCTGGTGTGGGGCGCTGCTGCAGGCAAGCATGTGGAGGAGCCTTCGCCCTCCAGAGCTGTCAGATGTTCAGTGCCCTGGGCCAGAGATGCCACCCAATCCAGTCACTCCACCCCCTGCACAGTGCTCAGACTGGACCACAGTTCAGGTGCTCCACAGCCACGCTGTGTCCAAGTCCCCAGTGTCACCTCCCTGGATGTCTCGACTCCCAGATGTCACTCCTGATGCCTTTCAACCCATTCCCAGGGGAGTGTGCCAAAAACACCAATCTGACCTTGCCCCTCCCTCTCCCATATCTCCCTAGTGTTCTCAGGACACAACCCAGGCTTATTCCAGCCTTTCATCCCCTCCCTGCCCTTCTTTCCTTCACTTGCCCCTCACCCCCTCCTCTCCAGCAATATGGACCTCCTCCCTATTATTTAAACATACCAAACTCATTGCAGCCTCAGGGCCTTTGCACATGCTGTTCCTCTAACCAGGAACACTGTTTCTTTTCCCTCCATCTCACACTCATCAACACCTTGTTCTAATGCTTCCTCCTCCAGGAAGCTCTCCCAGACTTCAAAGGCAGAGGATGAAGATGTCCCCCATCTGCCCAGTTCTGTCCAAAGGGCCTTTGATGGTCAGTGCCTGACTTTGTCCCAGCCCGGCCTGGGACCAGGGCCTCTCAGGGGTTCAACCTCGCTCAGCCCTGTCCCTCAGTCAGTGAGGCTGACCTGTTGCTGGGGGTGGAGAAAACTGCAAGGACCACGGGCCGGCCCCCCAGGCTGACGACACCTGTGACGGCCTGCAGCACATTGAAGTAAAAGTGGGAGTCCCCGGGCACAGAGCAGTTGAGCCGTGCCTTCAGGAAGGATGTCCACTGCTTTTCCAGCACCCGAGGGGAGCCTCCCAGGTCGTTCTTGCACACCCGGGCCACACGGGACACCACCACCTGGCACAACAGCAGACAAACAGGGGCCTGAGCCCTGTGTCCAGGAAGGCCTGCGCGGGCCCTGCTGCCCGCCACCCAGGCCAGGGTGGAGCAGTCTGCCCCGGCTCACTGTGGGGCCCCGGCCAGTTACCAACCTCCTCTGGGCACCAGATTCCCCAAAGGACATGTGCAGATGAAAATGATGAGCACAGAAACCACGACGCTTGTGATCATAATTGCTTCCGCCCAGAGAGCACTATGGGCCAGGCACTCTCGGCTCAGCGTCTCTTAACATTCCTCCCAAAACTCTACAAGGAAGGGTCTACTGATACCTCCCTTGTGCAGGTGGGGAAACTGAGACACGGAAAAAGGGAAGGGACCAGCCCGGATCACGCTAGTAGTGAATGACAGAGACGGTGCCCTTAACTGTCTGGCCTCCTGGATGGAAGGATGCGATTGGATGAGGGATGGGATGGATGGATAAATGAATGAATCTGAAGGAGAAAATGATGGATAATGAAGGAGATAATGAAGAAGGAGATAAGGGATGGATGGATGTGTAGACAATGGATGGATGGATGGTGGATGGGCGGTGGATGGGTAGATGGATGGATGGGTGAAAGGCTGGATAAGCAGATGAATGGGTGGCTGCATGGAGGATGAGTGGATGGGTGGGCAGGTGAAGAAGGAGATAACAGCAGATCAATGGATGGGTGGATGCCTGGGTGGGCAGAAGGCTGGAAGGGATGAGTAGGTTATAAGAGGGACATGGAGGCTAGATAACCAGATATTCAGGAAGGTGGGCGGGTAGACTGGGGAAATGGATGAGCTAATTTTAAGTAGAAGGGCAGATGAATGGATGTTAGTATGTGAATGAATGGACAGAGAGATGGATACATGGGTGAGTGAGTGGGTGGATAATGTGAGTGGGTGGATAATACATAGGGGCATGGAAGGGTAGATGGATGGATGTGGGATGACTGCATTGGTGGGTGGGCAGATGGAGAGATGGATGAATGAGTTGACAGAAGTGTGGGTGGGCTGAAGAACAGACAGATGAGTGAGAAGGTGGCTGGGGAGGCGGGGGAGTGGACAGGTGGATGGAGAGATGGGAGATGGGAGGCAGGACAGGAAAATAGCAACAACCCCAGGACTGGAACCCAGGGCGTATCTGACTTCATACGCATGACGCTGACCCAGGGTTGTGCGCACCAGGGCTGCTTTCTAAACATCTGCCAGCATCAGAGACCTGGTCCCGATGGAGTGGTGGACTTTAAGGACCAGAAGTGGCGGAGGGACCCCCTCACCTATGCAGACTCCTGGTTCACCTCTGCTCCCACTTCCCATGGCCAGAGCCTCCCAGCTCCATGCCCTGCCACCCAAGCCTCAGTGTGCTGTGGGGACGGGAGGGGTGGGGAGTAGGATCTTACCTTCTCCAAGTAGTTAAACTCCATGGCGATCTCCCGGAAGAAGAAGTAGATGTGGCTGCCCCACTCCACCGCGTGGACAAAGTAGGGCTCTGTAAGAGAGGAGGTGTCAGAACCCTGTCCCTGATGCGGGAAAGGGAATTTCTGGGGCTAGGAACACCTCAGCCTGGGTGGCTGCTTTTATGGTGCTGGGGGACAGTGGTTGAAAATAAAAAAGACTCAGAGGTGTTTATTTCGGGGGGTAGGGGTGTTGGTGTCAGAATCCTGAAATCACCCTATCTACCCTCCAGAAACTGCAATATCCACTATTTTTGTTGCCTTCTTCCCTCATGAGTCCTGCTATAACCCCTCTGGTAGTTCCATTTCAGGCTTCTAAGCCCCCCATCTCCAGCAAGTTCTACTTTAGACCCAACTTAAATCTTTCCGCTAGCTTTATCTTCAAAGTAGCCAGTAGGCTCCAAAGATGAGAGGGGAGGCTCCTCTGAGACTCTTATTCTGGTGGGGGGATTTGGTGAATGTCCACCCCACCTTTGAACCACTTGGAGTCGTGTTTCACAGTACGCAGAGTGGGCCGGTCCCCGAGGCTGCGGTAGATGACAGCGTCGATGGCTAGGAAGTCAGTAACGGTGGCTGTGAAGAGCATTCCTTCTGGATGGGGTGAGTAGGGAAAGCAGGAGAGATAAGATCATAGAGGTTAGGGGCTGGGTGGGTCAAAACTTCATCTTCCAAGACTCAGTCCTGAGCCTAAGGGGGCCCCTGTCTCTTGGCTGAGCCCTGACCCCATCTAAGCCTGAGCCCGGGCTGAGCCCCAACTCCCCAGATGACACCAGACCCCAACTGAATCCTGACAGTGGGCTTAAATTCTACCTCTTTCACGGCTGGACAGACAGTCTCCCAGCCACCTTCTAAATGCCCCAGACTCCCAGAGTGGAAAATGCCACACCTTGCTCAGGGCTGGCATCTCATGAGATGCTCAGAGTTGGGGACACTCACCAGAGAAGAGGGCGACGTTGGCATGTTTGGGGTCGTATGGACAGCGGGCCATGCCACTGATGTTGTCCCCGAGGGGCTGTAGCGTGTCCATCTGCAGGGGGAGCAGGCTCTGAGTGACAGGGCTCCGGGCCACTCGTGGCAGCCCCTGGCTCTCCCCGCCCCCGTCTCCAAGGGGAATCCTGGCTCCACCTTGGATGTTGCATGACCTGGTCAGTCACTTAGCCTCTCTGGGGCTCAGTTTACAGATCTGTAAATGAGTCTAATTGATCCCAGTTAATCCTATAACTGGCTTGTAGCATAAGTAGCCAGAGTTTTCCTGACCCTGACCCCTGTACAGGTCTCTCTTGAGCTCTGGGCGAGAGGACGGGGAGGGCATATCCAGTAAGGCTTCCTGGAGGAGGTGATGTGGCCCGGCGAAAGGGCGTGGCCAGTGGAGGGCAGGTGAGCAAAGTCCCAGGGGTTGGACCTGCGGCGGAGACTCACGCTGTAGTTGGCACACACGGGGTTGAAGGCATTGGAACCGCACACAAAGAGCGTGGATTCATCTCGAAGTAGCAGCACTTTTACAAAGTTTCGACACTCGCCCTGGTATGGGGAGGAAAGAGAGAAGCCTGGACGGGCGTGGTCACGTCATGGGCGTGGCCAGGGATGTGGGCCAGTGGATAAAAATAGGACCAGGATGAGGACGTGGCTGCGACTAAGAGAGGGACTAAGGCGGGGAAATACTTCCTATCAGGGGTGGAGCTATGGCAAGACCGGGGCTGTGGACCTGGTCGCCACCGGGGACCGTTTTGGGGCGTGACCGGACTCTGGGCGTAGCCAGAGTCAAGTCAGGGATGCGGGAGGAGGATGTACCCTGGGCGTGGCCAGGACGGGTTGGGGGCGTGGTCTGGGCGGGGCCAGGGCCCACTCACCTCCTGCTTGCCCTTCATCCGACACACGTTGATGTCGCCGGGGTTGGAGCGCCAGGTCAGCTTCTGCGGGCAGAGGGAGCTGGTAAGGGAGCGGGGTCCCCGGCTGCCCTAGAAGCCCCAGCCCTGGGCAGAGCCGCATTCACCTTGCTCCCCATCCATCTGAACTCCAATCCTACCCCCCCATCCATCCGAGGCCCCTATTACCCGCTGGTACCGCAGCTCTGTGGACGTGGGGGGCTCCAACTCCACCCGGTACAGGTTGTCCCTGGGGGACGGGTATAGTCAGTGAGATTAGGGGCTTCCAGTACCCCCCCACACATCCCACCCCCCTGGCGGCAGAATGGCATCCAACATGTGACACACGGGGGCGTGCCTGTGCCCTGCCGCAAGCAACTCCACCACGAAATGTGCCCTCACACACCTGCTCGTGCCCTCATACGCCCGCGCGTGCCTTCACATGCCCTCACACTCCTGTGCGTGCCCTCGCGCGCCTGTGCATGCCCTAAGTGACCCAGGGTTCCAGCACACCCCATATGCCTTAACATCGACATCGCCTCTCGCTTACACACCCCAGGGCCAAGGGGTCCGTACGCAGGGGGGTGAACTGTCCGACGCCTTCACATCACGCGTTCCCCTAAGCGCCCCTCAGTCCTCCTCTCCCCAGCACCGCCGAAACTGCCCTGGCCAAGGTCACCGGCGACCTCGTGTGAACTCCAGGGGTCACTTCTCTGTCCTCCTCCCCGTCTCTGCAGTGTCAGACCCAGCCAGTCTCCACTCCTCCTGGGCATCCTGTCCTCACATGGCCTGGGGACGCCACACTAGCCCACTCCCCTCCCACCTCTCTGGGCCCCCGGGTCTCCCCTGCTGTCCCTCCTTGGCCCTGGGCTGGGCCCTTCGGCCGCTTCCCTTCCCCACCAGCACCCCACCCTCACGGCCTCCTCCACTCTCAAGGCCCAAACTCCATCTATACCCCGATGATGCCCATAGTCCTGTCTCCAGCCCCAGCTCACCCTGAGCTCAGACTCGGGTCCAGCTGACCCTGGCGGTCTCTCGGTGGGTCGTGGGTGAGGGCTCACAGGAGTCTCACACTTAACTCAGCCACGCTGCACCCAACCCTCCCCAGACCCCCATCTCTGTCCTACCACAACTGCAGGCAATAACTGGGGAGTCCCCCTCAACTCCCCTCTTCTCCTCTTCCACACATCAGCCAATACTGGCATCTCTGCATTTACCGTCCATTGAGAATTCACCCACTTCTCCCTCCCTCCATGGCTACCACCCTAGTCCAGCCCCCATCACTGCCCTCCTGGACCAGCACAGTTCCCTCCACCCGGGAGCCTGGCTCCCGCCATCGCCCCCACAGTGTATCCTCCCCACAACGACCACCAGACAGCCTCCATGAGCACCTGAGTCAGGTCTCACCCTCCTCCACCCACAGCCCTCCAGGCCTCCCACCTTCCTTGGGGTCAAAGCTCAAGCCCTCCCACAAGGCCCCTCCCTCTCGCCCCCTCACTTTCTCTGCCTCAGCCACTGGTCTTCCAATTCTCCAGGCACAGTCCTGCCCCAGGACCTTTGCATGTGCTGTGTTCTCTGCCCAGATTTTGCCCTCTCCAGATTTTCCCACAGCTGGCTCCTCATTATTCAAGTCTCAACTCAAATAGCCTTCTCAGGGAAGCCCTGGAGTGCCACTTCAGCACCCTCTGTAAGCACCAAGTGAATTTTGACCACGTAGCTGTCCCCGTCTGCTAACACACCATACATAGAAGGCTCCAGGGTCCAACCACAACTCACCCTGCACACTGTGCCTGACAATCCCTCATACCTGTCCCCGATGAACAGCGTCCTGTTGACCCGCAGGACCCGCTGGATGTTGAGGTCATCAGCTCCCTCTGCAGGGGTCAGGCGTCCTGGCCCGCTGCCCACGAACACTGGATAGTGGTTCAGGTCTAGGGTAGCGGATGGAGAGAGGTGTGAGTGATCCAGGGTCGGAGTGAGCCTGGCCTGGTGAGCCCCTGGGGAGGGAGGGCAGCAGAACCAGCTGGGGAACAAGACCCTCCCCTGAGACACCCCCTTCCCCAGAACCTCCACTCACAGTCCCTGGGGGCCACGCTGAGCGGCGGTGGCTCCTCGGGGAAAAGGCCGTGGGCACCCCCCAGTAGCAGCAGCAAGAGCAATAGGGCTGGGCGAGGAGGGGGCGCTCGCGGGGTCCGCATGGCGAGGTCGGGGCGACGAGAGGTGACACCTACGGGCGAGGGGCAGAACGGTGAGCAGAGTGGCCTGCAGCCCCGCCACGCGCTGATAGACGACGCACGCGAGCTGAGGAGGCCTTCAATTCCCAGAATTCCCCAATGGGAAAATAAAAATTTACAATCTTGGCAATAACAGTAGTGACACCAGCACTTACTTAATTATCAGAACTTTCTGACCACATCCTAGTGAAAACTTAGGAAATGGTTTCTAACAGAAATTAATGAGAGTAAGTAATTTTAAAATTAAATGATTTTTAAATAAAAAAATAATAACAGTCATAATAGACATAACAAATACATTTAAAAATCAGTGTCGAAACACATATTTAAGAATTCTTACAATTAAAACACAAAAATCTTCAAATGAAAAACTCAAAAACCAATTCAAAGGCTCTTGCAATTTTATACACCCCAGTCTGGGAATTGTCAGACTCTAAAATTGCAGAATTTTTCATCTAGCCAGACCTCAGAGGCTCCGGTAAATCTGATTTTCTTCCCGAGTTCAGCCTTTGTGTCCTCTGCTGGAATACCTGTGTGACAGGCACCTCCCTACTTCTCAAGGGGGCCTGTTAGCCTGCTCCCGTGCAAGGGGATTTGAAGCTCCTTGTAGGTCTGTGGTTGGAGTTGGAGGGAGTGTGAGCAGAACTCACCCTCTGGAACCCAACCATCCACGCCCCTTCCCGAAGGGGTTCGGTCCAGAGGTTCCCGAATAAAAAATTTGCAGTCCTGGGAAGTCTCAGGCAAGCCCTGTGCCTCAGTTTCCCTGTCTGAGCAGCAGGGACATCTCCTCCAAGCCCTGCCCTGGCCTCAGGGCTTAGGGAATCTGAACTCGCAGAGGTGAAGGCGCGGTGGGAACTTTGCCCCTGGCGTGCCTGCCTCTGAGAATTCGGGGCCAAAAAACAGGAAGGCCTTGCGTGGACCAGCAGGGCTTCCTTTTTGTGACCCTGAACTTCCAGGATTTGTGACTCAGCAGCCGCCCGGATCCCACGTGTACAGGGAACACGGTTCTGCTTCCTTAAGAGTTTCCTTCTCGGGCTCCTCCCCCGTCCTGAAGCTCCTCCCCCGGCTCCCGGTGACCCCTGATCCAGCCCCACTTGCTTCCTGGCATTCAAGGTCCCCAACAGTAACCACCATCCCCAGGCTGCCTACCCCACCCTCATTCCCCTGGCCCTCCCAGCCTCCTCCTCGACAGTACCTGCCCAGGCCATCCACCCCAGGACCCCTGAGACCCATACTGGGCTTTATCGCCTCAGACCAGCTTCTCCTCCCAGTTCCTGGACTTAGGGACGGCCTCACTGTCCCTGAGCACAAGGCCCAGGTGTCTGCCTCCCTGTCATCACCCCTGCTCTGAGAGCCCCAAAGCCCAGCTCCCACCTTCTGCCTCGTGCCCCAGGGCCTCCAGTCCTGCCCCTTCAGTATGCTCCTCAAGGTGACCAAGGAGTCTTTCTAGAACTCAGATCTCACCTGTTGCTCCCCTGTTCCAAACCAGAGTCACCCCTTCGGACCAGTGACATCAGGACCAGATTGGTCTCTGTGGGGCAGTCCTGGGCACTGTGGGGTCTTGAGCAGCATCCTGGCCCCCACCCCTTTGGTGCCAGGAGCACCCTCCCTGTTGTGGCAACCAGAGACATCCCCAGACATTGCCCAATGACCCCTGTGGGGGCAGAACCACCACCAGCTGAGAACCTCCTCTCTAAACCCTTCTATAGCTCCCTAGTGCCCTTGAAATAAAGTCTCAGCTCCTCCCCTCCCTTCCATCTCCACCTCTGGGCTTCTGCACATGCTGTTTCCTCTGCCTGGAACACCCTTCTCCTGCTCCCAGTCACCTGGGAACACATTCTTCAGGTTTCAGACACCTCCTCGAGGAAGCCTTCCCAGCTCAGCCCAGATGGCTTCCCCAGGCACCCACCTGCTTGTGTATCTCTATTAGTGTCCTGTTCACCTTATCTTTTAACTGCCTGGTTGACTGTTCATCTTCCCTGTGGGACTGTGAGCACCTTGAGAGGGCAGGACTGGGTCTATCTTGGCCACTACTGTGTCCGCACCACCCAGGACAGGGCCTGGCATACAGACAGTAGGAGCTCAATAAATAACACCAAGCACTTGCTAGGCATTGTCATAGGAACTTAAATTAACTCATTTAATTTGCACGACACACCCAAGAGGTGGGTGCTGTTAATATGCCTCTTATAAGATAGTGAAACTGAGGCACAGAGAGTCATTTGCCCCAATGGAAGCCGTGGAGTCAAGATCTAAACCCGCTCAATCAATATTAGTAATTTTGATGATAATGCAGAACTGAGCCCCACATGCTCTTTTTGGGGCATCTGGGTCACTTTGGGGCCAACCCACTACACCTAGCCTCAGTTTACCATCCTGACCTGGGATTACAGGAGGCCTCAGCACCTCCCCCACCCCCCCTCAAGACCATCTGCTTCTCTCTGTGAAACTCGAGGCGCCTCTGCCAGCAGCCGCCTGGCGCCCGCCTGCCCAGAAGCGGCCCCACCACCTGCCCCAGCACCTGGCCACCGGGAGCTGCTGCCACCCAGAGCCAGGCTGGGGGAGCGGCATGCCAGCATGTACAGCCCACGGCATGCAGGGCACCCATGGACCCATGTGTCTGTGTGCCTGCGGATGGGCGTGTCTCCCGTCTGCAGCCCTGAGGACAAGCGCTCATGCCCATGAGGTGGGAGGCACAGTCATAAAGTGGCAAAGAGCCAGCCGCATCCAGAAGGGCTCACGCTGTGGCAGGGTCTCTCGGCCTGACGCCCCCAACCATCCCTTCAACTCGTGGCACACAATCCCATTGTACAGGTGAGGAAACTGAGGCAGAGATGGAAATTCCCTCAAAGCCACCCTACTTCACCTCCTTCCATCCTCACACGGCCCTGGGACCATCTTCCCAGGTACTCTTGACCCCCAGCACTTCAATATACATTTTAGGGTCAGCTGTTAACTTCCAAAACAAACAACAAATAAAACATAAAACCTGCGGGGATTTTCGTTCGAAGATCAAATTGATCTACTGACTGACGGCTGGTGCTCCATCACCCTGACCGGTGCCTCCGCTGTCCCTGCTGACAGCTGATGGTTCAGGCCACATCTGGGACTCATCCCCCGCCCCCAACTCCCTCCAACGTAACCGCGCTCGGCCTCATTCCTTCACCCTCATGTCCAACGCCATCAGGTCCTGTGGGCGCTACTTCCAAGTTTATCCAGAATTTACACCCTTCCCCAGTCTGTTCCCTGGTTAGCTCCCACCGTCACCACCTGGACCAGCACAGACCCCCTCCACCCTGATTCCTGAATCCCGTGCTCACCCCCAGCCAGTCCTCCCTGAAGTGGCCACGAGAGGGCGCCTGTGAGCGCCAAGAGTCAGGTTCCTCCTCCTCTGCCCACAGCCCTCCAGGGCTCCCACTTCCCTCTGGGTGAAAGCCCAAGACCTCCTTGCGGCCCACAAGGTCCAGCACCACCTACCCCCACTCCCTGCCTGCCTGCCCCTCCTCCCTCTCACCCCCTTACTCATTTTGCTCCAGCCATCACAGGCCTCCTTGCTGTTCCTACAACACACCAGGCATGGTGCTGCCTCAGGGCCTTTGCATGAGTTGTTCCCCCATGCCTGAAAGCTCTTCCCTCCGATACCCACATAGCTCCCTCCTTATTTCAGGTCTCTGCTGAAATGCCACCTCCTAAGACAGACCGCCCACTCCTCCGCCCACCTCACTGCTCAGAACTTGTCTACTCTCTCCATGAACTCCCCCAACATGTCACACTCTCAAAGGGCCCTTTCGACCCTCTGCTACTTCCAATGTGGTCCTGGAACCAGCAGTAGCAGCTTGGTAGCCTTTAGAAATGCAAAGTCCCATGCCCTCCCCAGACTTGTCCAACCTGGCATTTTTAGCAAAATCTTGCAGTAGTGCATAGAAGCTCAGCTTGTGCACCAACCTCCCAAATAAAGTATTCACCCATGGGTCCGCCTATTTCATGGCAGCTGGATTGTGAGTCCCAAGAAGGCAGGCCTGGTTGTGCTTGGCTGACATGTCCTGCAGTGTCTGGCACACCTTTGATACTCAGTAATGGCTTGTGAGGGGATAAACTGTGTCAGCATCAGGACTTGAACCCAGGTCTGATTTCCTCACCTCTGAGACATGCACATGTCTACAGACATGTGGGGCCCCCACAGATGTCCAGAGGCACGGACGTCCAAGGTATGAAGCTGCATCTGTGTGTTCACACAGCTCCATAGGTGCAAGCACGGCACGCACATGCCCCCCAGACTATCTGCATGGTTGCGCACATGCCCATGTGCGGAGCGTGTACATGCCCCTGGGAAGCTGTTACCTGTACCCCCCACTGGTGGTTTTCTGACTCTCAGTTTCCCAGGACCCCAATTAACTGTGGGCACCAGGCTGGCCAATATCCATGTCTACCACATTCCTGCCCTGTTCAGACTAATCTCACCGGTGGGTTGGGGAAACTGAGGCCAGGAATGACGTTTGGACAGACAACACTGTCACCTAAAGTGCCCTGGTCAGCAGCTTAGCCTCTGGAATCCTGCACCCAGGTTCAAACCCCGGCTCTGCCTATTAGCTTTGAGACCACCAATGGTCACTTCCCCTGTGCGGCCCTCAGTTTCCCCATCTATAAACTGTGGGTGACTCTTAAGTCCAACCCTAAAATGTTACTATGAGGACAGAAGTACATAATTTAGACCAGCGCTGTCCAACCAAAAGCCACGCAAGCGTCATTTAAAATTTCCTTGTGGCCACATTCAAAAGGTAAAGTTCATTTAAATATGTTGTATTTAAGCCAAGAAATCCAAAATATTATTATCTCCACATCTAGTCAATATAAAAATGATTAATAAGACATTCTATATTCTGTTTTTCACACTTAATCTTTGGAATTCCGCATGTGTTTTATGTTAAGAGCACATCTCGATTGGAACTGGCCACATGTGATCCCCAGCCACACGGGGCCAGGGGCCGCCCTTCTGGCCAGCCCAGCTCGGGATGAAGGGCTGAGCACAGGGACAGTGAGCCCTCAGGAGAGGTCAGTTGTCCTTAGTAGTGCTGTTATTTTAAAAATCACCACAGTGTTCCAATTCCGAGCTGGAGGGTCTGGCTATACACTCCTAGAATAAGCCTGCAGCTAGGCAGGATTGTCCCATCCTCTCTGCCTTAAGCAGGGAAGTTCTACTTTCAATCTACCTTAAATCCCTCCTGCTTCCACAGGCTGCCAGAAGCTAAAGACTTGGGGGCTGGGCCTTGGCCCTTCCTCTGGCCCTGGGCATTCCCAGCCTGGGTTTTTGAGAATTTGGGCTTGAATATGGGCAAGGCCTGCCCTCCTCTCTGATCCCCACCCCCACCAAGCAACATCTTTACTGTGAATCACAAGCTCACATCAGACCCTCCCACTTCCCTGCTCAATGACCTGTCATGGCTCCCTAGTACCCCACAGAAGAAAGAATCAATTTCTCTACTTTGACATTTAAGGAAACCCTCACCCTGGAAAAGACCTTAACCTTCCACATGCCCTCACCTCCTGCCAGGCATGCCCAGAATTCACCAGTCCATGTTCAGGCCTTTGTTCAGGCTGTCCGCTCTGCTAGGGGAACCTTTGAGGCCTTCTCAAGACCTCCCTGCCCCCAAGACACCCTCTCAGTCACCCAGACTAGTAACCTTACTTTCTCTCCTTGAAAGCCCCACAGCCAACTCCTGCTCACTGTCCACATCCTCTATGTGTGGATATCTCCTCCTCCAGGGAGCCTTCCCTGACTGCTGTGGCTGAGCATTGAGTTCTCTGGGTACCCCCAGCTATGACCCCCACCTCGGCTCTACCCAATGTCACTAACCTGGGAGCAACTGTGTCCATCTCTGGCTCCCGGTACCCAAAAC